TTTTTTTAGAGGTCTTGTCTGTCTGGAATAGGGATGATACTTTACTCGATACAATTGTGTACACGGACTTTATTTTATTGAATAAAGTAAAGTAAAGCACTCTATTTTACTTTACATTACTTACTATAGTAAAATAGAGTGGGTATACTTTACCTCATAGAGTAAAAGTATCACCTCTAGTTTGACATAAAGTATTATAGGAATAATAAGTTTAGTAGAAGAATGAAAGAATACTCTACCTTTCAGCTACTTTGCAGTATAAAATTTTGCCCGAAGACAGTTTCGAAAGCTCGATATTTCCTCTATGACTATTACTCGCTACAGCTCTAGATAGAAGGTCGAACTGACTCGGAGTTCTTTCGCTGAATCCCATATATATGTATATCAATCATGCAGTTGGTGTGCTATCGAACAGGTCACTCAAGACAAACAGCCGTTACTAACTTGTTTGGTAGCATCGAGATTCTAACGCAGAAGTTTATATAAATCTCTGCGAGTATAACTTATATTTAATAATCGTACAAACGATAGCTTCTATTCGAGTAAACATCAATAAATCATTAGTAGTTAATGATGTATATTTAATTGATACGCTATTTTAATAATCTAATATTTATATAATTAAATTTTCTTTTTAAACTTTTACTCGAAAATAAGTAATGCACTTTTATTAGTCTTATTAGAAAAAAACTACATTAAATATATATTTGTATCATGCTCTATCAATTAAATTTAATGAAATTTTAATGATCACTTAAAATAATTTTTTCTTTATAATTAAACAAACTGACTAATGTCTATATTATACCTTTCAACATCTCTCCTATTAAATCAATATACAAACTTATACATACCGTTTCCATCGCATTCTGCTTTTTTCGTATAAAATATCTCTTTACTCTCTATAAAATTATCATATAAAAAATGCTCGTATAATTTTCGTTCTTCTCTTTAAGGTTCAAATATATATATATACATGTATATTACACTTGTCGTAAGTCATCTATCTGATACTATCATTTAGATAAAGTATTACATGGTAAAAAGTACATATGTCATTTTACTCATTATTTTAATATATGTATACATATATAGATGAGTGAAAGTATCTTACCAATATGTTGATGATATCATCCGATCATATACCTTTTTTTTTTATGTGCTCGGTTTTAATGACAAGATATTTAAATAATCATCAACCATTTATCAAATATATATACATATATATTTTTTCTCAATGACAAAAACACCTTTGAAGATTACTTTTTACCTATAGTTAAAGAACAATATCCTGACCTCGATATTCAAACGAATAAAAGCTATAAGCTCTTCCTCTCTCTCTCTACATATAGACAAATAAATAACAAACGATTTTTATCATCCGATGATAAAATGATCAAGAACAAGGTTGTTATGTATAATATTAAAAATGCATCTTTCATTGATCTGATAACGTTTTTTTATCGAGATGAAGCAAAAAAACCGACTAGAACATATATATATATATGTTTGTCTATCACCTTGAAAGACAAGGAAATGTCATAATAAGAATTCTGTTTGACATGTTTATATCAATCAAGACGTGTCAGTCAACAATAAGATTATATTCTTATCAGTAAAACAAAATCTTTTTAATTCTCATTTTAAAAGATATTTTCAAACTTACTTTAATAAAGCCATATGTTCGATTGTGTTTTTAAAATAGAAGATTAAATTGAAATGTTCAATATGTTGATCGTATCGCGTTAATATATCTATATTTCAATTGATTAAAATAAAACGAAAGATAAAACAAATCTTGCCGCTCTAGGATATACAAAAAAATAGACTAAAGCACTCATCATCTTACTTCAATATTAGTATGATCTAGATACACATCGACATTCGTATTCTTCTTTCTTTTTTATGATATATAACTGACAAGAATCGTAAAGATCATATTACAGCTAGATAATTGATTGTTTTTTGTCCATAGACGAAGAAGAAAAAACGTTTTGCTTTTGTTTACTAATGTTAGTTTTTATTTTGTCATGTCAGATGATGCATAATATAGATTAAAAGAAGAATAACAATCGGTGAACACAAATAATTGGATATATACATATATGGATGACAGAATAATCGATCATTTTTATGTTAGAAAACAAGAACAGAATAGATTTTCTATAGAAGAAAAATAATTTACAGTCAATTATATAAATTCTCTTCCTGTTTAAAGTATCTCATTGAGAACTATATTCATTAAGAAATATTATTATTATACATAATTTAGTATCAAAACAAGTTGTTGTTTGTATGATAAATGAATGACAGATGACAGATGGATTATGACTAGAAGGGGGAGGAAATAAGAATGGAAGTTAGTTTAGTTTTGCTTCTAAAAATATATATACGAACAAATAAAGATAATTACCTGCTTAGTATAAATAGAAGACACTTTGTATTGTATTTTTAAACAAGCTAATGATCAATTGTTATATGAAAGTATTTACATTAGTGTTATCTGATTCGATAGTATGTGGGAGTTAAGAATAACAAGGCAACATATTTGAGTCTACTCACACAAAGAGAGATTCAAATCATTCTATTCTATAGAGTCAATTATTAACATCTTAATTGCCCACGTTTAGGTGTAAGAGGAAAAAAAAACAATATAATTTTCTCGATAGTACACCTTATTCTGCTAATTTCAATTGAATGAATGGGATCGGAGTCGACTTCTATGTGTTGGAAGTTACTTTATCGACATTTTTCTCCTGAAAAAATTCCCCCAGTTTTCTCCCTCAGGAACCAGTCAAAAAAGTCAATTTCATCAAAACATCGTTATTATTGTTCAATGGCTTTTTCATGAAATTGATTTTTTTGACTGATCCCTGAGGGAAGGATTGGAGTTAAATTTTTCGAGGATAATACATTGACTCAGGCTTCCATCATTCAATTGAAATTAGCAGAATAATGTCTCCAATATGTCGTTTTTTTTCTTACGTCTAAGATATTGATGGGTGACCCTATAGGATACAACGATTTAAATCTCTCTTTACGTAGATACACTCAAATATATTCTCCCGCAATGACTAACGTTTGAAGTGCGATGAAAAGTTTCTTTTTGCTAAGCATGTCTCGGTCTAATATGCATATAAATTTACTACGTGAACCTTTTTAATATAAATATGTTCGTTTAACCTCTATCCTTATTCTCTTATCCATTACGAATAAGTATATATTTTTTATATAATCGAATCATTATGCATATATGAAATAAACCTTGACATGATGATAATAGTAAATGATTTTAAAATAACTCAAAAATCAATATAATTAATGAAGATTAACTTCACTTAAATTTCTTAAAATAAATACTTGTATTGATAATAAAAACAGAATATATATTCATGTATTATTTATTCATATAAAATAAAATAGAAAATGAGATTATGATTTATGTTGGTTTATTTGAAGTTTTATTCATAGTAGGTGGAGCTTTATTTATACGTATACGTTTAAGATCAGTCGCTAATTTAAGTTGACGTATTAAATTTATTTGTTCTTCTTCTAAATGTTGTTTTGATTCATTCAATGCATGTATTCGTTTAAGGTATCCTTGTAATGATTTACGTAATTCAAGATTTTCATTTTGAATAGCGATACTACGATCATAAAGAAATTGTTCAGCTTCCTAGAAAAAAAAGAAACAACGAAATTGTTTGGGTTTTTTTTTGTTGGAAAGAACAAACTTCATCAGCTTGTCGTCGAATTGCTTGAACTTTTGCACCTTCATCCATACGTTGTTGTTGAAGTTCTTTTTCAAATGTTAATCTCATTTGTGAGATACCACGAACATGTTTACCACGTATTTCAGTTATTTCTTCTTGTAAACGTTTGATTTCATTATTTTGTTGTTCTTGAATATTCTAAAATATTATCATTATCATATTAGTTTCTTTACTTTCAATTCAACAAACTTTATATTCTCCAATACCATCTAATTCACGTTTTGTTTGAGATAAAAATTGTTCTTTTTTCATTAATTGAGAACGTAATTCTAATTAGAAAAATTTTATTTAGAAAAATATATAATTCATTCATTCATATAAAACCTTCTTTTTTTCTTTCATATTCTTTTAACATATTTTCTTTCTCTCGATTTATATCTTTAACTTGTTCACGATAATAATCTGTTAATGTAATAACTTGTGTTTGACGAGTATTAGTCTTTTTTGACATATATTGCACGTATTCAGCCTAAAATTAATGTATATATCAATCGGGTATTAAAATTTAAGTCGTATTTACTGTTTCCGCGCGAACTTTATTTGCTTCTTCATTAAGCCAATTATTTTCCTCTTGACTATAAGAAGATTTAGAAGGAACAAAAAATGAATTATTAGACTTACGCTTGACGAACACGCAATTTGATTTCAGCTAATTTTTCAACTTTTTTATCGAGCCTAAGAAAAATAAGATTATTAAAGTTAAATAGACAACATGTATATATACTCTTCTTGAAGAATAAGTTCTCTTGCTGATGGACGTTCATTTTCGTCTTTTACTTTAGCACCTGGTTCCTTGGCAGTTTTTTCTTTTTTTCCTTTTTTACCTTTTTTTGGTGGCATGGGTAATTAATAAGATTGTCTTTGAAGTAATAAGAAAAAGAACGCACATCAAAAGTAGCCATTCTTGATTTAGTTACTATGGTAACATCAAAATAAGACAGAGGGCGTAAATATAAATCAAATAATTATTTATTAATCAAATATAATTAACTTCTAATTAAGAAAATAAAGTATTTAAAATATATTGAATTTAAATTTTTTATACAAATTATTTCTAAGAATTTATATTGGAAAACCAATATTTAACAAGTCCAAAGGAAAAACAATTTAAGTACTTTATTATTCTTCATGATACCGATGTTTACCACGAGATAATATTTTTATGTTTTGTCTAGGTCATTCGA